ATTGGCTTAAGGAAGAAGGATGTTCATCATCAGGAACTGGCCAAAGTTATGCCCAGAGCATAATCAGGCCATTGTCAGGACATGGCATCTGCTCTGTTTTCCACTCTTGCTTACACATCAGCTGTCCGCAAAGCTGACTGGAGGAAAGAACACCATCCTTGCCGATCACCCAAGAAGACGTCTTTGTCTTGCTCTTCCCAGACTCCTCCAAAGGTTCCAATCAAGTTGTCAGTGTATGGTACTGCTAATTTCGGGACATAGATAGCCACAGATTCGGCCTTCTCCCAAATTCCATGCCTATTTTATTGGCGGAGTCTTAAAAATTTTACCTTTAAATTTTTTTTTTTTTTTTTTTTTTTTTTGCCTTTTTAACTGTTAAGTAGCTCCTTCTGACCCTGTTTGAAATATCTTCTTTGGGAAGAATGAATGAAACACAGTTCTGACAGGTGCTAGCACCCCTCCTATGATCAAAAGACCTCAGATATAGCCACCAGTCCATCCCCCGCTTCCCAAGAAAAGAAACATCAGTGGACAACCACAGTGGGAGTTCTGGGAGCCGCACTTCCTAGGCCTGCCAGACAAAAATGCTCATTTAAACCAGCCACATTATTGTGGTTTCCTAACTAGTGTTGTTACAAGGGAATGTGATTCCATGTTCTGGGGAAGTCCAGGACGCAGACCCGTGGAAAGGTCTACGGCCAACCTTTGTGCTGGTGAAGTCTGGTACACCAGATGTACACCAGGAGGGACTCATTCTTGCCAATAGGTCAGTGTACATCTCAGAAGTTGCTTCTTCAACAAAATCAAATATTATTTATTTAGTTAAATAACCCAAAGCATACTTTCATTGACCTGAGTCATTATATCTTTTCCTCCAAAATGAAAGATGCATTTAAATTCTCTGGGTGTCTCTTCAGTGTTTGATGAAGGCAATTTTTAAAACTAATTTAGAATAATTCCCCTCGGATTCATTCTTCTACCTTCTTTACAGGGCAGTATGAAAGATGAACCAGCATCATGCCGAACTGAGCAAGGCACCAGATTATACTTTAATAAAGTGAACATGAACTTTGACCTTTAACCCTTGAATAGTGGTCACACAGAGCAGTTTCATCTTATCTATTAGCATTTATAATAGAGTTTCAGGCATTTACTTTTAGAGAAAATAACCTGCTCATTTCAGTGGAACAGGATGGACAGCCAAGGTCAATGAAGCATCACAAGTAAGTTTTCCAGCCCATCCTGGAGGCGGAATTGGGGGTGACTTTTTTTTTTTTTTAATGGCGTGTAAAAAATAGCATCTGAGCGGAATTTTTAATCAAAACCCAAGACGATAACTCTTGGCAGAAGAACTCTGGTTTTTTTTTGTTTTTTTTTTTTTTTTTAGCACATTCCCACCCGGACCCCCGACATCTGTTCTTTTCACTTTCTGAAATAAACACTTTGCTAATGCTGTGAGGTGTAGGGCTGGGAAGTTACTCATTCTTTCCCTCACCCACAGAAACAATTTATTAAGGTGTAAGTGAGATTTTTTTGCCCACCTCTTTCAAATGAGGTAGATCCTTCCCAAACTTGAAGAGCAATCAAAATTCAGATAGAAAAGTCCCAGAGTCACCTGATGGAACCCTCCTTTGCTTTTTTTCAGGCAGGAGAAATATGTCACGTTCCCCATCTAGTGGTATGACTTGGAATCGTCCACAAAGGTGGTCTAAACGTGAATTCTGGGAGCAGAAGATATTTACTGAATTTGAAATGCCAACTGATCACCACGATAAAGAGAGAGCAGATAAGAGAGAATTAAAAGATAAAGTTTCTATTCTCAAAGAACTTATAATGTATGGGGAGGAAGGAAAACTACTTAACAATCAATCTAATACAGCAGAATCCCTTTCTCAGCCGGGGCTATGTTCCAAGACCCCCAGAGAATGCCTGAAATAGTAGCACACCCTATACATGCTGTGTTTTTTCCTATACATACACACCCATGATAAAAATTTGATTTTTAAATTAGGCACAGTAAGAGATGAGTAACAATAACTAATAATAAGATAGAACAGTTACAACAGTATCCGGTAATAAAAGTCATGTGAATGTGGTCTCTCTCATGTCTTAGTGTCCTGTCCTCACCCTCCTTGCGACGCTGTTAGATGATAGCATGCCTATGAGAGGAGGTGCGGTGAGGGGACTGACACAGGTGTCCTGACGCAGAGTCAGGCTACTAATTACCTTCTGACAATATGTCAGAGGGAGAATCATGTTTCCAGGCCACAGCTGATCGCAGGTAACTGAAACGGGAAAGTGAAACCGTGGATAAGGGGGGCGGGGGGAACATCTATAAACAGTTTTCCATATATTTCAAGAACATGTAGGCTCAGGACAGGTGCTCAACTCCCTTCTCCTCTCAAGGTCCTCAATAGGCCCTTGAGGAGTTGGTTTGTAGAAGTTTGGGGCAGGGGGAGGGAGGGAAATATTAGCCAACTGTAGTCAGGAAGGGGTGGGTGACCCACCTGCAAAGCAAAGATTGAGTGCTTCTGGAGACAGCCTGGGGACAACCAGGTGACTTTCCTTGTAAGGCTCCAGGACAGGGGACCTGAAAAACCCTCGACCTGAGCAGAGACTAACTGATTTGGGGAAGCCTGGTGCAAAACCCTGTGACACTGTGATGTTGGAGAAGCTCAGCCAGCTCTCAGGCCTGTCACCTCAGTGACCCTAGACAGGGCTGTCACAGTCCACAGTTGTCCAGAGGAGGCCTGATTTGCTGAGCCAGACTGTTCCCCTCAGGTGCTGACTGTCTTCGCCTCGAGATCAGGGAAAAGCCCAGGAACCTAGTAGCTTCTCTCCCCATCCATTCATTCCAGGATCACAGTTTGTTGGCCTGTTGACACTGGCCTCCAGGAGTAGTAAAGCATATTTTCTTCCTCTGTCTGCTAAGCAATAGATGGGCCGGTTCTAAAGAATCTTCCTCCTAATAACATGCTGGCTGTGGGTCTGCAAGGGTGGTCATAAACTTGAAGAGGCTATTGGAATACTGTACTTTGTTTCTTTTCTAAAGGAACATAGAAGCATACTGTAGTAAAAATTATTTAAAGACTGAAAAAAATATATTGATGTGTATGAGACTCTGCTGGAAGGTTATTAGGGCATACTCTCTGCATGGGACGCATGTTTCCAGACAACACTTGATGGGTGGTCTAGATCTGGATCTTCTCCTGGCAAACCTTCTTTTACTGCTACCTCGGCTTCAAACTCTTGGCATTCTCTTTCCTCCTCTGCTTCCTGGGCCAGCTGCTAGCAGGATGTGTGCATCTGCAGATGTCTGCTGTACTCCTGAGCAAAACCTCAGCATCTTGCAAAATTCTCCTGTTCGCTGTTAAGCTCTTTAAGACCTTCATTTATATGATCCTAATCCATAGCACATTCTACCTGTTCTTTTGCCTTTCTTTGCAACCTTTCTTGAACTTGAACTTTTCTTATACACATGACCTCATTTACAAGTTGTCTCTTTGCTTTCTTCTCAGGTCTCAGCTCCCTGTCTTTCTCAGCCAACTTCTTTCCTTCTCTTCCTCTATTATTTGGTCCAACTTTTTCTCCTGAGTTTTCTCCTCCTCATGTTGCTATGCCATTACTCATGAGATATCTTCTGTTTTCTTCTCATATCTTCTCTTTTGTGCTTCTTCTTTTCTTTAATCACCCTCTTCCTCTAAGCCTTGAAGGGCTCTTTGCATGAGCTTCGTGTTCAAGTCCTGCTCTGTTCTATATTCCTGCTGAATCTGTTCTACCTTCTCTTGGAGGGCTTTTTTGCAAAGGGTCCTAATTTCCTGCTTTATCTACTGTTTCTTTAGCTTATTCTGTTTATGCTCAAGTTTAGCCTTGTACTGTCCATTTACCACAAGGTGCACCTCCTCTTCCCTCAGCTACTGCACCGCCTGCCTTTGTACCTTGACGTTGGTGACCTGGGCTTCCAGCCCCGGGTGTGTTCTCCAGCAATTTCTCTCTCCTTGTTTCTTGAGCTTCTCATTTCTCCTTGGCCCATTGATCTTCTTCCCAGAGTTCTAAGAGCATCTCTTCCTTTACAATCTCTGCCTCTTCAGTTCCTCATGAAACTGGCCTGTGCTTTCTAACCCTCACGCCTTGTGAGGGACACAGAGCACTCTGCATGGAGCTCTTCCTCTGTGCTCCCTGAAGAGCTGTCCTGCTTTTCAGCCACAAAATTCTACCTTTATTTTTCTTTCTTCTCCTTCAGTAATCTGGTGTCCCTCTCATTCTATTTTTTTTCTTTTTCCTCCTCAATTGTTTCTTCTTTTGACTGCATTTCAGTAAAATACTCATTTTCTTCTGATTCTAACAGTTCACATAGCTTATTTCATCTTGCGTCAGTGTTGAGGGACTACTGTACTTTTAATAAGTGTTGGTAGACAGAGAGCCATTCCTCTGAAAAATTAGGATAGGTGAACTTCATCAAGTTGGATTCTGGACTCAGTGGTATAAGTGGGGACAACTTAAAAGATAAAAATAATAGTCTGGTGATGGGTATTAAAGAGGGCACGTTCCGCATGGAGCACTGGGTGTTATACGCAAACAATGAATCATGAAACACTACATCAAAAACTAATGATGTACTGTATGGTGACTAACATAACATAATAAAAAAAGGAAAAAAATAAAAAAATAATAAAATAAATTCGAAACAAAAAATGTGTATATAATTAAAAAGAAAGATTGTGAACACCACTATAAACACTGCTGGTTATTGAGTTGGCAATGACCCAAAATGTTAGCTTAAAGAAGCACATCAAGATACAGAAAAAGAAAAGAAAAAAAATGGAAACTAGGAACAAAAAGAAGCAGGTAGGATAAACCAATGAAATAAATTATTCCAAATAATAAGACTTTCAGTAGGAGAGAAAGGAAAAGAGGAATAACAGAAACCAAAGAATTAATGGAAGAAATCCCCTTGAGTTGGATGAAGACTTCAGTTTTTAGATAATAAAGACCATCTGAGTGCTGGAAGATTTTATTGAAAAAAGAAACACTCTTGGCCATGTCCTGGACAAATGAATAAACTTGTGGGATTAGGAGCACTCCTTATTAAGCTTTCAGACATAGAAACAGGGTTACAGAGCGATTGATAACACTATTGGTCTTCTTATTTGCAACACATTAAGACAGAAGACAGTGAAACAACACTATGGACTTTGGCGTGCAAAGTGCTGTGATCATAGAATCTTGTTTTCAAGATCCTATTTATGACTTGAGGTGGGGGTGGGGTGTGCAACATTTTTAGAAATGTAAGAACAAGTAAACTGTCCCTGTATCACCTCTGGAAGTGTTACTATAAAAATTTCAACAAAAATTGGATCAGAGCATTGATTTTAAGTTGAGGAAGGATAACATACACCACAGAAAGAAATAAGTAATGAATCACGTATAGTGATTATTAATTCTTAGAGATTTCTGTAATTCATAAAAAAACACTCCTACCTCTAAATAAAATCTAAGACAGGCTTCATACTGGTCATTCTCAGATAATAACATTCTCTAGTCACTTTTTTTTTTTTTTACCAGAATAGTTTCATTCAGTAATTAAAATATCAATCCATGGAAGAGTTAAACTTCTGAATTCCATTCTGAATTAAAGCTTCTTTCCTTCCCCTGCTTGGAATGATCTGACAAAGACTTTAAAGTACCTATTATAGAAAATGCTTGAATGAGCAATTGTGAACATTCTTGAAACAAATATTAAAATTGAAAGTATCAAGAAAGAAATAGAAAACATAAAGAAGAACCAAATGGAAATTTTAGTTGTAGGATACAGTGTCCAAAATTAAAAAGGAAAACTCACCGAATAGACTCAACAGTAGAATACAGATGACAGAAGAGCCATAAACTTGAATAGAGAGAAATATAAAGAAATTATTCAACCTTAATAATAGAGAGAAAAGGGCACCTGGGTGGCTCAGTTGGTTAAGCGACTGCCTTCGGCTCAGGTCATGATCCTGGAGTCCCGGGATCGAGTCCCGCATCGCGCTCCCTGCTCGGCAGGGAGTCTGCTTCTCCCTCTGACCCTGCCCCCTATCATGTGCTCTCTCTCTCATTCTCTCTCTCTCAAATAAATAAAATCTTTAAAAAAAAATAGAGAGAAAAAAATTTTAAAAAAGAAAAAAGAACCTCAGGGAATAACCACACTACATGAAGGTCTTATGTTCATGTAATTGGGGTTACAGAAGGGAAGGAAAATGTATGGTTGTGGAAAAAACTTGAAAAATAATGACTGAAAACTTCCCCAATATAATAAAAAGATAAACCTACAGATTTAAGAAGCTGAGTGAACTCCACTTGTCAAAACTCATTAAATTGTCCTGTCAGAATTGATGAATTTTACTGTATGTAAATTATACTTCAAAAAATTGAAATCATTTTTAAATAGCTAATAAAAATTTGTTATTTAATAATACTCATTGTAAGCCTGCTATAGGTGGGACTCACTGCTACCTGTTGGGGTTATAATGTTGCAATAATTCATATCTCTAACAACCTGATTGATACTAGCTAATAATTGTTAGGTGCTTACCATATAGCAGGTCCTGCTTTGCATGGTTTTAGAGTTTTTGCTAATTTAATCTTCCTAACAACCCTGTGAAGGAAATATTGTCATCTCTACTTGACAGAGGAGGAAGCTGATTATGAAAATGTTAATGAGTAGCTAGTAAGTTGAAACATGCAGTTTGACTTTAGAGACCAGATTCTTAATCACTACTGAGTATGGAGAGACAAACCCAGGCAATGTTTCATGCCAATACAATGCAATATGTTTAGTCTCCCAAATAATGGGATTATATTGTTATTTTTTGCCAATAATAAGATACATAAAATCAGGGACATTAAGAGTAGGCTTGGGAATACTTCACTGGAAAAGGAAATTCCAGTTCTGAGTCTCAAAGATTGTGACAAATGTGAATTCTGACGTAGAATCAGAAAATATGAATTTCTGGAAGTCACCTGATATTAGATAAGATGCTTTATTTCTCCATAAAGACAATCAATTTCACTCTTGGGCTCACTAGGATACTCTCAGTAATAAAGGGTAAATGCTCATAGTCTGATATACGCAAAGGTCATGCTAATTTAATTGTAATTTTGTGTGCTTTAAATAGAAGCTAATTCTTGGGGTGCTTGGGTGGCTCAGTTGGTCAAATGTCTGACTCTTGATTTTGGCTCAGGTCATGATCTCAGGGTTGTGAGATTGAGGCCTATATCTGACTCCGCACTGGGCATGGAACCTGCTTAACATTCTCTCTCTCCCTCTCCCCCTGCTCCTCTTGCCCCCCATTCTAAAAAAAAAAGAAAAAAAAGCTAATTTATATGAAACTCAAATTAGACATTAAAAGCTGTATTTAGAGATAATGTTTGAAAACTGAAGTCAAGGCTTTCATACTTGAAAAAAAAAAAATTGCTTCAAATGTGCTCTAATAATTCCAGCAGATGGCAATGTAATCATTGTTAAAAATTTGTTTCACCATCCAGCTGAAAAAAAAAAGGCAAATAAAAACAATATCCTTTCTGTTTTATTTCTGTTTTATTCTGTTTTTGCTTTGTTTCCCCCTTCTCTGTGTTGAATCCCTTAGGTTTCTAGAACAGTCATTCTACACAAGAATTTGTAAGGTTAAAGCCCGCTAACACTTAACTATGAAGGTCTGCAAATGCTAAACTAGACATTGATCTTTATTGTGTAGAAAACAGAATAAGCGTAGATGGCTTTTGAGTCAGGAGTGACATGGTCAGAATTGTGCATTGAGAAAATCACTGACAGGGAAAGGATGAGTGGAAGGATGTGGAAAGGCAGGGTGAATGTTCGAGTGGTCTAGAACAGAGATAATGGGACGTTGGCCTGAGTGTGGTAGTAAAAACAAAATTTAGATGAGGAATCCCCGCAGACACAGAGGTGAGAAAACTGAGTGAATGATTGGATGTTAGAAATGCAAAAGAAGAGCTAAAGATAACTCTTGTGTTTTAACCCTGGGTGGGTGGAAGCTGACTAGAAGGGGAAGGAACAGGTTTGGACAAAGGGAGTTTGTTGAAGTTCCACGGTGATGATTCAACTTAGCAGTTGACCAGTGGGTCTGCTGCTGAGATGAGAAGTAAAATTTAAGATATAGAAACAGAAGTGGTGAGTATTTGTAGCCACAGGAGTGGATGAAACAGTCTGAGAGAGAAAAAGCCCGAGGTCCTAGGAACCTTCTGGCGAATGCTTGCATTTGGGAGAAATTGATGATATGATTAAGTTTAGCAGGATTTTCAGGTGAACATGATGTCTTCAGAACCCATCAACAAGGATGAATGGAACAAAAGTAACATATATCAAAAAGTTTGACGAGATTGTTTGAAAAGAGGCCAATGGGCTTTGAGAAACAGTTAAAACAAACTGATAGGGGCAGAAAGATTATTATGAGAAAGAAGTGAACATAATATGGAAAAATGTACAATCTCTTTGGAGAAGTTTGACCATAACAGGAAGGAAATGGTTCCATAGGTTGACTGGACATTGAGAACAAGTGGAAATTTTTATACAAGAAATACTTCAGCATTGTTGTGTCTGACGTGAAGGAGACATTTGAAATTATACTAAAGTTGTTTTCCTTTTTTTTCTTAAATGACATCTAGATAATTTAATGAAACAGCTTAACTTCATTTTACTAGAAATTTGTGGATGTAAGAAAAATTGAAAATACAATTTGAAAGTGAATGTTGCAACATGTTTCTCATTATTTATTATTTATCCAGTGTCTGCTTGGCTCCTCTCTGTTGCTGATGTCTGAAGCTTTGAGACTATGAAAGTTAGTCATGCTAATCAAGTCTGTCCCCAGTGCCCAGAGATCTGACATTGTGGCAAGTGATAGCTCTGTAGGGTCTGCTATAACGTCAACCAAGCGTTTAGCATCCGAGAAAACTCTGAAGCCCATCTCTCTGTTACAATATGTGAGCATGTTCCCTTGTCCACAGTTTTTATTCTATCCTTTCTGGTTTTTTTCTCTAAGGAAAAGAAAAGATAAGTTGGCAATGCTTGATCTTGCTTGCAGAATTGCTGAGTTTGCTTCTTGCCACTAGAACTTTGGTGTCACGGTTTGTGAAAAGGAATCTTCAGAAGCTGCTGGTTGAATTTGTCTGAGGAAAAAAAAAAAATATGACCTTGAATTGCAAACAACCGAGTCTGCCATTGAGTATGATAAACATACTGGTTTCAGTAAAAACTCATAGCAAGATAGAATTTTCAAACACAGAGGCAATGGAAAGTGGGATAAAGGCAGGAAGAAGATGGGAGAAAATTGTCCAGGAAAGTTGTCTTTTCTTTACAGCACAGATAAACAGTTTGCTTATCAATTCCTAAACCCTTCTCTCTGCTCTTAATTCTTTGAAACCCTGTACCATTTCTGTCAACAGTCCCATCAAGTGAAAGATGAAATTACTCCCTACTGCTAGGTATCCCATCTCCCATGCAGACATGTTTGGAGGGCTGGCAGATGAGGGTCCCCCACAGGAGCTGTATAACATAAACTTTCATGCACTTCAGAACCCAGTCACAGATAAAGTGAAGAAATGGACTTTTTCTTAGATCTGTAATCTTAGATCTGTAACAATCAGGGATGGTATTTTAACTCTGAGTTTTACAAACCAGAATTTATTTTTATTTATTTTTATTTATTTATTATTATTTTTAAAGATTTTATTTATTTATTTGAGAGAGAGAGAATGAGAGACAGAGAGCATGAGAAGGAGGAAGGTCAGAGGGAGAAGCAGGCTCCCTGCTGAGCAGGGAGCCCGATGTGGGACTGGAGCCCGATGTGGGACTCGATTGGGACTCCAGGATCATGACCTGAGCTGAAGGCAGTCGCCCAACCAACTGAGCCACCCAGGCGCCCCAGAATTTATTTTTAATAGGGAAGACTCCTATTTTGCTCACTCGCTCCTGTTTATATTTTTGCAGAAGCAATTGATTAGGTAAACACTTTATACATCTGTTGTCCTGATCATTGCTTTGAAAATAGTGGGAATCCAAATTCACAGGGTAAACAGATTTTCAGAATAAATTCTCCCTCTTTCAATAAAGCTTGTTTCTTTAGGTTGGATTTTAAGATCCTGAAGGACAAGAACTTGTTCCTTTTTTTGGTCATAAGGTTTATTATTTATTTATTTATTTATTTTTCATTCATTCATTTAAATTCCAGTGTAGTTAACATAGAGTGTTATATTAGTTTCAGGTATACAATACAGTGATTCAATAATTCCATCTATTACCCAGTGCTCATCAAGATATGCTCACAAGATATAAAGTGTATTTTAAAAATACTATCTGTTTAACACTTTTAAATTCTGACAGTCACTTTTGGTTTCCTAGTCAACAGCCATTCCCCACTTTTGTGCCAACAAAACCCTAATTCCATTCACCTATCTGGTAGCAAGGACTCTAGGAAGAAAGGGGAGGTCTTACCCCAGCCCAAGGGATGAATAGTGATTATTTTAAACCAATTTGGGCCCTTCTACCTCCTCACTTATGATTGGCTTGGAGTGGGGCGTGGGAGCCAGCTCTGACCAATGAGATACGAAGGGAAGTCTGTTGGGACTTTTAGGGAGATTTTTCTTCCTAGTATAAAGAGGGAAACACAGGAGAAGAGGCCCTTCCCTCCTAGTTTTCAATACAGTTGTGTGAGGACACGATGTTTCTAACTATCCCTAACTCGTGGGGAATCCAGCGGAACTAGAGAAAGCTGAAGTAGAAGGATAATATTGTTTAGTTCTGAATTCACCAATGCTGGCAATTATTTCTGGGCCTCTGGTCATGAGAGATAATAAATACACTCATAATATTCGCCACATTTAGTTAGATATTTTGTACCTTGTAGTCAAAAACATTCTAACTGAGGTAGCAATTAAAAAAAATCTCTCACATTATCTCACTGATTCTGCTAACGATCTTGTGAGGCAGGTGTTATCTGGAGTCCACGGAAGACACCGAGACTCAGAATGTTGAAGTCAAGTGACGAACATCACAGAACTAGTAGGGAGCCGACCTAACACTGAAATCATAACTTTGGATGAACACTCACATGTTCTTTGTAATGCACTTTACTGTTGAACTTGGGCCGAATAAGATCTGGTAAATTTTGCTGTAGTGGATGAGGCTGAAATCTTGGGGACATTTCCTTATCCCCAGGTAGGTTCTCCCAAACTTTCAGGTCTGCTGAAGCCTGGACTCTTCCTGAAACCTTGGGCGGGGGGACCCATTGTCAGTGTGCCCTGACATAAAGATTTAGAAGGAAATTTTTTTTCCACATTTGTTCTATTATCCTCTTCCCTTCTACTGATTTATACTGAAAACCCAGTCTGTTCTTATTTCTAATGAAATGCCCCTGTTCAGAGAACCTCAGAGTGATTTGAGAAGTTAGGTGGAGTACAACCTCACAGAACCTTGCCCTTTCTCTCTCTGATCTCTCATCTTAGTTGGACACGGAAACATATGATTCCCATTTCCACTTACATTTCCATAGGAGGGACTGGTTTTCTCTACTTCATCCTGGCTATGACTTAGACCCGTGACCATCCCTGGATCCTACCATGCCCATTTCTGCACATTTTAAATTACAAATGCCTAGCACTAAAGCCCTGTCACCCCTGCCTAATAAACTACTTCTGAGAGTAGATCTGACTATTATCACTCTGTCTTAACATGGACTCCTCAGAAAATGATACCGGAGGCAAAAACTTACAAACTAATGCGTTATTGGGGGTTCAGTCCCAGGAAAACCAGAGTGAAGGACAGTGGGTGCATTACTGATCTGGCTATAGCTTTGTAAAAAAAACACAACGGTTTGCTCACTTTGCAGAACATCTTTAGAAAAGTTGTATAGACCTACTGTGTATCAGAACTGCCCATAGAGGAACAAGGGTGAGTAATGTATCTGCTGGATTTTCTTCATCTTCTGTTGTACATTGGTCTGAGTTCACCCCTCATGGGAATAACTCCCTTTCACTTCCAGGTTGTATTACCAGGCCTATCCAGGCAGGCTTAGGGGGACCAGAGCCTCTACAAATCCAGGAAGGCTGGCTTAGGTTAATGTCCTACATGGGGTCTATGCTAGTGATTCTGCTGGCGTTTGGCAGTCTCTGGGGCCACTCTTGCTAGACAGAAATCAATGCAAGTGGTCAAGTGTGGGCATGGGAGTCTGGTGAGTGAAGCTCACTGGGTGATACAGAAAGAAACTTGGTCCAAACCCAATCTGTGTTCCCAACAAACTGAAAAGAGATCTCTTTCTTTTTTCTTCAGATTTCCTCACTTCGAAGGGGTTGGATCTCTGCCAGGGGTTGGTATCCTCACTCCTGTTTCATCATGCTTACCTGTTCCTCCAGAGCTGTAGGTAGATGGACCAGTGCTTATTTTCATGGATGAATAAAGTCAGCAATCCCGATCCACCCCAAGAATATGCAAATTATAACATTCTATTTTGTGTGTCTTCACTGTTTTGAACATTCTTTAACTGTAAGAGAATGAATTCATTTTTACAATCTGAGATCCTCTTGATTTCAGCTAATTTGTGTTACTACAATCATTAACACTTTATCAGAACAAAACATAAATTTAAATGTGTTTTGCCTTGGGTGGGTTGAAATTTTTATTTTCTTTATTGCTTTCATAAGACATACATAAACTGATGACTTTGAATTATACACTTCTAACAGGGACAGAAAGTACTAGATTAGTTCAAGGGGAAGGAGATGAGGTAGAAGATGTAATTCAGATCATTAAAAAATGGTTGTTTTAGTTCTGGGACAGATTTTTGAATTGTATTTTTTCTTCTTGACTAAATTTTCCTATGTTTGTAGACACTTCTAACAAAAGATTTGTCTTCTTTTGAGAATAAGCCAATGCCTCCACCAATGGAATTTCTTCTGTGTAAAAATCTCTCAGCAATGTATTTGGAAACTCGTGTCTGTGAGGGCATATTTGAAGACACAAGTCTGACCTCACTCCAAATGTCAGCAGCAATACTCAAGCTGCATTTCTGCTAGTACTTGTCACCAACAAATGCCATTTAACCAATGCTTCTTGGTGGAAAGTATCACAGGTGCCACAGGAAGCCCAAGAAGCCCACTCTCTATGGTGAGGACAAGGTCTCAGTCTCATTGAGCTATATTTGCATTTCAACTGCATATTACGATGTATGGGCCAGGCCCTGCTTCTCATGGCATGTCTGTGATGGAGCTGGAGTATTTCAGCCACCCCCATAACCACAGCCCTGGAGTGATTTATGATTCTGGTGAAGCGCTCTGAGTTTTGGTCAACACTGCTAAGATAAAACAGCATTTGAAGAAGAGTGGCTGCTAGGGGAAAAAGTCAGCTACAGATGATCTAATGGGCCTGATAGTTCATTAAAAAATACTAGAAAGAGGGGAGGAGCAAGATGGCAGAGTAGGAGACCTAAATTTCATCTGGTCCCAGGAATTCAGCTAGATAGGGATCAAACCATTCTGAACACCTATGAACTCAACAGGAGATCAAAGAAGAGAATAGCAGCAACTCTCTGAACAGAAAAGCGACCACTTTCTGGAAGGTAGGACGTGCAGAGAAGTGAATGCAGTGAATCCGAGGCGATATTCGGGAGGATAGGTGGCGGGGGAGGGAGCCTCCGTCAGCCGCTTCTGGCAAGTGATAGAGCCACGGAGCACAAAATCAGAACTTTTAGAAGTCTGTTCTGCTGAGGGACGTCGCTCCAGTGGCTAAGCGGGGGGTGGAACCCTTGCGGGACAGAGTGGTCTCAGGACCCTCGGGGTCACAGAAAGCCTGGGGGTGCCTGAGTGTGGCAGAGCTCCCAGGTAATGGAGCAGGGAAGCCGGCTGCAGAGGCGGAGCCCAGGCGCGGGCTCTCAGCTCGGGGTGGCCATAAACCGTGATCCGCGGCACAGTCGGGCCCCTGCTCCTCCAGCAGGGACCCAACAAGTGGCAGATCCGGGGAGACTCCCCTTCCTCCCCTTGGAGGAGCGGCATGGGAGTGCACCGCAGGGATCTGCTGGGTTTGGAGACTCCACACCGGGTCAGGTGCCAGAGATAGAAACGCGCGGTCACAGGCTGGGTGAGCACGGAGTGCGGCCGGAGACCGGGGAGACAGGAGTGACTGATGGCTTTTCTCTGGGGGCTCACTGAGGAGTGGGGCCCCGAATTCTTGGCTCCTCCGGGGCAGAGGCCGCCATTTTCACTCTCCGCCTCCAAAGCTGTACGGAAAGCTCGCAGGGAACAAAAGCCCCGGAGAGCAAACCCGAGCAGATCACTTAGCCTGACCCGGCAAGGGCGGGACAATTCCGCCTCCAGCAGAGACATTTGGAAACCACGGCAACAGGCCCCTCCCCAGAAGATCAGCGAGAACAGCCAGCCAAGACCAAGTTTACCGATCAATGAGAACGGCAGAACTCCAGCGCTAGGGGAATACTGCACATAGAATTCACGGCTTTTTTCCCCATGATTCTTTAGTCTTTCATAGTTAATTTTTTAAATTTTCTTTTTTTTCTTTTTCCTTTTTTTTGAATTTTTCTTTTTCCCTTTTTCAACCAACGTCTTATCAATCCCTTTTTTAAAAATCTTTTTTATTTTTCATTTTTAGAGTCATATTCTATCCCTTCATAGTAGTTAACCTTATTTTTGGTATATATATATATAAGTTGTTCTCTCTTTAAAATTTTGGGATACAGTTTCTTCTAACAGACCAAAATATACCCTAAATCTCTAGTGTATGGCTTTGTTCTAGTCTCCTTCCTGATCACATTCTCTCCCTTCTTTTTTTAAAATTTCTCTTCTTTCTTTTTCCAACCAAATTCTTATCTTATCAATTCCTTTTATAAAATCTTTTATAATTTTCATCTTTACAGTCATATTCCATCCCTTCATCGTATTTACACTTATTTTTGTACATATATAAGCTTTTCTTTCTTTAAAATTTTGGGAGGCAGTTTCTTCTAACAGACCAAAATATGGACAAAATCTAGTGTGTGGCACTGATCTATTCACCAGCCTGTTCATATTTAATCATATTCTTTGTTTTTTTAATATCTTTTTCTTTTTCTTTTCATTTTTCTTTCTTTTCCTTTCTTTTCCCCCAGTTTCAGGTCCCTTCTGATTTGTTTAGTGTATATTTTTCTGGGGTCATTGTTACCCTGTTAGCATTTTGTTCTCTCATTCATCTATTCTCTGGACAAAATAACAAGACAGAAAAAAATCACCTCAAGAAAAAGAACAAGAGGCAGTACCGACTGCCAGGGACCTAATCAAAATGGACATTAGTAAGATGCCGGAACTAGAGTTCAGAATGATGATTATAAAGACTCTAGATAGGATTGAAAAAAGCATGGAATATATTAGAGAAATGCTTTCTGGAGAAATAAAAGACTAAAATCTAACCAAGTCGAAATCAAAAAGGCTATTAATGAGATGCAATAAAAAATGGAGGCTCTAATTGCTAGGATAGATGAGGCAGAAGAGAGAATCAGTGATATAGAAGACCAAATGATGGAAAATAAAGAAGCTGAGAAAAAGAGAGATAAACAACTACTGGATCACGAGGGCAGAATTCGAGAGATAAGCAATACCATAAGGTGAAACAACATTAGAATAATTGGGATCCCAGAAGAAGAAGAGAGGGGCAGAAGGCATATTGGAGCAAATTATAGCAGAGAACTTCCCTAATTTGGGGAAGGAAACAGGCTTCAAAATCCAGGAAGCACAAAGAACCCCCCTCAAAATCAATAAAATAAGTCAACACCCTGACATCTAATAGTAAAACTTACGAGTCTCAGAGACAAAGAGAAAATCCTGAAAGCAGCTCAGGACAAGAGATATGTAACCTACAAGTGTAGAAACATTAGCTTGGCAACAGACCTATCCACAGAGACCTGGCAGGCCAGAAAGGACTGGCAGGATATATTCAGAGCACTAAATGAGAAAAATATGAAGCCAAGAATACTATATCCAGCTAGGCTGTCATTGAAAATAGAAGGAGAGATAAAAAGCTTCCAGGACAAACAAAAACTAAAGGAATTTGCAAGCACAAAACCAGCCCTACAAGAAATATTGAAAGGGGTCCTCTAAGCAAAGAGAGAGCCTAAAAGCAACATAGACCAGAAAGGAACACAGACAATATACAGTAACAGTCACCTCACAGGCAATACAATGGCACTAAATTCCTATCTTTCAATAGTTACCCTGAATGTAAATGGACTAAATGCCCCAATCAAAAGACACAGGCTATCAGATTGGATTAAAAAACAAGACCAATCGATATGCTGTCTGCAAGAGACTCATTTTAGACCCAAAGACACCTCCAGATTGAAAGCGAAGGGGTGGAAAACCATTTACCATGCTAATGGACACAAAAAGAAAGCTGGGGTGGCAATCCTTATATCAGACAAATTAGATTTTAAACCAAAGACTATAATAAGAGATGAGGAAGGACTTTATATCCTACTTAAAGGGTCTATCCAACAAGAAGATCTAACAATTGTAAATATCTATGCCCCTAACATGGGAGCAGCCACTTATATAAGCCAATTAATAACAAAAGCAAAGAAATACATCAACAACAATACAATAATAGTAGGGGACTTTAACGCCCCCCTCGCTGAAATGGACAGATTGTCTAAGCAAAAGATCAACAAGGAAATAAAGACTTTAAATGACACACTGGACCAAATGGACTTCACAGATATATTCAGAACATTCCATCCCAAAGCAACGGAATACACATTCTTCTCTAGTGCCCATGGAACATTCTCCTAGAACAGATCATATCCTAGGTCACAAATCAGGTCTCAACCAGTACCAAAAGATTGGGATCATTCCCTCTGTATTTTTGGACCACAGTGCTTTGAAACTAGAACTCAATCACAAGAGAAAAGTTGGAAAGAACTCAAATACATGGAGGCTAAAGAGCATCCTACTAAAGAATGAATGGGTCAACCAGGAAATTAAAGAAGAATTTAAAAAATTCATGGAAACCAATGAAAATGAAAACACAACTGTTCAAAATCTTTGGGATGCAGCCAAGGCAGTCCTAAGAGGAAAGTATATAGCAATACAAGCCTTTCTCGAGAAACAAGAAAGGTCTCAAATACACAACCTAATCCTACACCTAAAGGAGCTGGAGAAAGAACAGCAAATAAAGCCTAAACCCAGCAGGAGAAGAGAAATAATAAAGATCAGAGCAGAAATCAATGAAATAGAAACCAAAAGAACAGTAGAACAGATCAACGAAACTAGGAGCTGGTTCTTTGAAAGAATTAACAAGATTGATAAACCCCTGGCCAGACTTATCAAAAAGAAAAGAGAAATGACCCAAATCAACAAAATCATGAATGAAAGAGGAGAGATCACAACCAACACCAAAGAAATACAAACAATTATAAGAACATATTATGAGCAACTCTATGCCAGCAAATTAGATAACCTGGAAGAAATGGATGCATTCCTAAAGATGTATCAACTACCAAAACTGAACCAGGAAGAAATAGAAAACCTGAACAGACCTATAACCACTAAGGAAATTGGAGCAGTCATCAAAAATCTCCCAACAAACAAGAGCCCAGGGCAAGACGGCTTCGCAGGGGAATTCTACCAAACATTTAAAGAAGAATTAATACCTATTCTTCTGAAACTGTTCCAAAAAATAGAAATGGAAGGAAAACTTCCAAACTTATTTTATGAGGCCACCATTACCTTGATCCCCAAACCAGACAAAGACCCCATCAAAAAGGAGAATTACAGACCAATATCCCTGATGAACATGGATGCAAAAATTCTCACCAAAATACTAGCCAATAGGATCCAACAGTACATTAAAAGGATTATTCACCACGACCAAGTGGGATTTATCCTTGGGCTGCAAGGTTGGTTCAACATCCGCAAATCAATCAACATGATACAATACATTAACAAAAGGAAGAACAAGAATCATATGATCCTCTCAATAGATGCAGAAAAAGCATTTGACAAAGTACAGCATCCTTTCTTGATCAAAACTCTTCAGAGTATAGGGATAGAGGGTACATACCTCAATATCATAAAAGCCATCTATGAAAAACCTACAGTGAATATCATTCTCAATGGGGAAAAACTGAGAGCTTTCCCCTTAAGGTCAGGAACACGGCAGGGATGTCCACTATCACCACTGCTATTCAACATAGTATTAGAAGTCCTAGCCACACCAATCAGACAACAAAAAGAAATAAAAGGCATCCAAATCGGCAAAGAAGAATTCAAACTCTCACTCTTTGCAAATGATATGATACTTTATGTAGAAAACCCAAAAGACTCCACCCCAAAACTGCTAGAAATCATACAGAAATTCAGTAAAGAGGCAGGATATAAAATCAATGCACAGAAATTAGTGGCATTCCTAAACACCAAGACAGAAGAAAGAAAAATTAAGGAGTCGATCCCATTTACAATTGCACCCAAACCATAAGATACCTAGGAATAAATCTAACCAAAGAGGCAAAGGATCTGTACTCAGAAAACTATAAAATACTCATGAAAGAAATTGAGGAAGACACAGAGAAATGGAAAAATGTGCCATGCTCATGGATTGGAAGAACAAATATTGTGAAGATGTCAATGCTACCTAGAGCAATCTACACGTCTAATGCAATCCCTATCAAAATACTATCAACTTTTTTTCAAAGAAATGGAACAAATAATCCTAAAATTTGTATAGAACCAGAAAAGACCCCGAATAGCCAAAGGAATGTTGAAAAAGAAAAGCAAAGCTGTTGGCATCACAATTCCGGACGTCCAGCTCTATTACAATGCTGTCATCATCAAGACAGTATGGTACTGGCACAAAAACAGACACATAGATCAATGGAACAGAATAGAGAGCCCAGAAATGGACGCTTAACTCTATGGTCAACTAATCTTTGACAAAGCAGGAAAGACTGTCCAGTGGAAAAAAGACAGTCTCTTCAACAAATGGTGTTGGGAAAATTGGACAGCCACATGTAGAAGAATGAAACTGGACCATTTCCTTACACCACACACAAAAATAGACTCTAAATGATTGAAAGACCTCAATGTGAGACAGGAGTCCATCAAAATCCTAAAGGAGAACACAGGCAGCAACCTCTTTGACCTCAGCCGCAGCATCTTCTTCCTAGAAACATCGCCAAAGGCAAGGGAAGCAAGGGCAAAAATGAACTATTGGGACTTCATCGAGATAAAAAGCTGTTGCACAGCAAAAGAAACAGTCAACAAAACCAAAAGACAACTGACAGAATGGGAGAAGATATTTGCAAATGACATATCAGATAAAGGGCTAGTATCCAAAATCTATAAAGAACTTAGCAAACTCCACACCCAAAGAACAAAGAATCCAATCAAGAAATGGGCAGAAGACATGAACAGACATTTTTCCAAAGAAGACATCCAAATGGCCAACAGACACATGAAAAAGTGCTCAACATCGCTCAGCATCGGGGAAATCCAAATCAAAAACTCAATGAGATACCACCTCACACCAGTCAGAATGGCTAAAATTAACAAGTCAGGAAACGACAGATGTTGGCGGGGATGCGGAGAAAGGGGAACCCTCCTACACTGTCGGTGGGAATGCAAGCTGGTGCAGCCACTCTGGAAAACAATATGGAGGTTCCTCAAAAAGTTGAAAATAGAGCTACCATATGATCCAGCAATTGCACTACTGGGTATTTACCCCAAAGATACAAATGGAGGGATCCGAAGGGGTACGTGCACCCCGATGTTTATAGCAGCAATGTCCACAATAGCCAAACTGTGGAAAGAGCCAAGGTGTTCATTGACAGATGAATGGATAAAGAAGATGTGGTATATATATCCAATGGAATATTATGCAGCCATCAAAAGGAATGAGATCTTGCCATTTGCAGTGACGTGGGTGGAACTGGAGGGTGTTATGCTGAGCGAAATAAGTCAATCAGAGAAAGACATGTATCATATGACCTCACTGATATGAGGAATTCTTAATCTCAGGAAACAAACTGAGGGTTCCTGGAGTGGGGAGTGGGGTGTGAGGGATGGGGTGGCTGGGTGATAGACATTGGGGAGGGTATGTGCTATGGTGAGCACTGTGAGTTGTGCAAGACTGTTGAATCATAGATCTGTACCTCTGAAACAAATAATGCAATATATGTTAAGGAAAAAAAAAAGAAGATAGCAGGAGGGGAAGAATGGGGGGGGAATCAGAGGGGGAGACAAACCATGAGAGATGATGGACTCTGAGAAACTGAGGGTTCTAGAGGTGAGGGGGGTGGGAGGATGGGTTAGCCTGGTGATGGGTATTAAAGAGGGCACGTTCTGCGTGGAGCACAGGGTGTTATGCACAAACAATGAATATGGAACACTATATCAAAAACTAATGATGTAATGTATGGTGATTAACATAACAGTAAAAAATTTAAAAAAAAGAGAGAAATAGATTCATGGGCTTCCCACTTGACTATATTTCTAATGGTAAAGTTAATGAAGGTCTACTCTCTTCGATTTCCATATCTTATCATTTGAATCTGGGGGGTATTAGAATAGATTCATTGGGTAAGATTCAATCAAATAGTACTCAAGCATTATCACTATGATCAAAATGTTCTTCAAAGAAGCCCTGATGTATTTATTGAATACTTAGGGTTTTATTCAGACTCTGGTTGAAAACTAACACTTCACTGAGGAAAATATACATGCCAACATACTTAGAATGCCATTAGTATTCAGTGAAAAAAATAAAGGTATAAGATAAAAATACTGATGCATATGTTGTAGGTATTCAACTGCCAGTAACTATAAACAAACACCGTATCCCAATCATTTTCCTGTATTGGCACTTTTTTTTCCCTCATGGTTTTCTAATGAAGAGGCTACTAATCCATCTGATTAGAGATAAAATACTAATTATTTTATTCCATCTTATGTATTATTATATATATCATGAATATATGACATATTTTAATACATCTTTAGTAAGTACAATAACAGCAATCATTCACTGTTAACTATTCCAAGTACTCAGCTCAATGCTTTATGTGCATATTTTTCCATTTAATCCTCATAACAACCTTAAGTAATAAGCATTGTGTTTATCTCCATTGACAGATAAAGAATTTAAGATTAAGTGAGCTTATGTGTCTTGTCCAAGGTCATACTATCAATAAGTATCTATTGATTGTCTTGTGTAATTCATGCTATCACTTCTAATTCAATACCCCTGAGCAGCCACATCTCTCACCTTAGCAGGAAGAATAGAGATGACTTCCTTTCAGCCTTATTACTGGATATTGAAGAATGGCCAGACTTGCAGCCACCTATTCCCTGGAAGAAAAACCAAATGATGAGCAATAGAAGTCAAACCACCATAGTCACAGACCAATTACAAATAGAAATTATACTAAGGTGATTCAAAATGTAATTATGAATTTGGACAAGGACTTACCTTTTATAATTCAAACAATCAATTTTACTATCCAAAATATACCAAGTCTGTTATTAGAATCATTAGCTAACATAAAAGATCTGAAGCAAAGTGTCCAGCTATTAAAAAATAAAAACTAACTAATATGCATTATTGTTGAACATCCAAAAGGATTTATTAACTGAGAGCAAATGAATGTGAACATCATCTTCGCCAAGCAGATATATTATCAACAACTACCATGTCCCTTCCTTATATAAAGACTTTGTGATCAACACCTCTTCTAAGAGCATTAAAAGTCTTGCTGGAAAATGTTGTCTCCTTTTCTGAGTAAGTTCCCAGGCCTCACTTCAGCATGAAAGCTTGTAAAAAGTAGAGCCAAAGTCAATGGTTTTGGTGTGTCATACCCTGAAGATGATTCTCAGCAGTAAAAAATTGTTCCTCCTCAAATACAGGCAAGATTGTTCATTGCCAGCAATTTACCAGTATGCTTCTCTCTTCCCCTCATTCTGATTTTCTACCAACTACAACTCTTCTACAACCCTTTTGATTGGTACAGTAAAAATAGCCGTATGTTAATATCTCCAAAGCTCCTGGGCTTACCTCTAAAAGGCATCCCGCAGACCCACAACTCTGAGTCTTTGTGAAAAGAATAAATTAGAAATATATATCAAAATGAAAAGTGAGAATGGAGACTACCTGTAGCAACATGACTTAGTTGTTCAATAAAACTTTGCCCAGGAAAGATAAGACTATAAACCAATAAATATTATTTTCTTCAAGATATTCATGTAAGTTAATTTATCTGAGACAATAGTTTGACTACTTGGGCAAAGAGATGTCTTATCAACTAATAATTTATCCATCAAATCTTCCCTTAAGACCCTCACCTTACTTTGTCCACCAATCCTAAACAAATTTTATCTTGTCACAAGATTTTGCCCAATTTCTATCATCTATCCACCTTGAAACATTTGCCCAGACCCCAACACCCTATAACCATACATTCAGACTTCCCTCTTGTGACATATTGTTGAGATCTGTCAAGGTGGTAGTCTAACTCACTGCAGTGACTTCTAATCTATTTGGTTTTTCCTTATTAAATGGTTGTTTTGTAATATTTTAGAGAATTCAATAAAAGAATGTCAATATGGTACAGAGATCTGAAATCTTCCAAGTCTAATCACCAAGAAAAGCTGTTTTTAGTTTAATCCATTTATAAGCATCTTTGTTGTTCAAGACTTCAGGGAACAGAATAAGATGGTCTATCACAACCAGAGACTATGAAAATTTCATGGAGATAATATCAAGATTATTTAACATAGTCTCATAGATTTTGAATAGATCAAAAACACTTTTTAGTGGTGAGTTTCAAAGTGTCAGCAGTTTTTTAAAGTGCAAAAAGAATGCAGAAGATAGAATTTCATTGTTTTTTGTATTTGTGTGTGCCCTTCTCACAAATTAAATCCAGGCTTTGTTTCCTAGAGCAACATTTGGAAGATATTTTTTAAACAGACCAATGACTAATTATTTGCCCACTTAAACAAGTAAGTAGTTTACAGAAGGTAATTCCTTTTATCTTGCTATTTTAAGAATCAATTACAAAACTTAAAAAAAGGAAAAACAGTTGACTTAAATTCATAAAAATAAAAAAGCTTAAGAGAATTAAGCTCTAAGGCTCTAAATAAACATTTGTTAAAAACCTCAGTTTCAATAATCTCTATTTTCATGAAGTATTGTCAACTGTATTATTTAAGAAGAAATCTTTGAGCCATCTGTAAAATGTAACAGTTGCATTAATAATTGTCTGTTTGATTACATGGTATAAATACCCTTTCACTGCAAATGCATTAATATCTATGAGAACTATACCTATCATCGATGTGAACTGATGTTGTACTGACATATTAGTTGATTAAATACCTTTCAATATTGGCCCCCTTTTCACTTTTAGTAGAAAGTGTTAATGCAAGGGATCTAAGTTGGGTTCATGGACACATAATGTAGCCTTTACAAAATGTAGGAAGACGGTTGACATGAAGACATTTCTACTTTTCCGTGGCAAAATCCCCAAGATAAAACACTGCAAAACCTACCTCATTAGACACGATGGGAAGAGGGGCAAAAAAACTAAAGAAAAATAAAATGCACAAATCAGGGTCTCAATGACTTAGCCTGTCATAGAGCCACCCTGTGGAACACTGGAAGGTAACAGAGAGCTTCTCTTGAGCTATTCACTTTTTAGACAGGAGAGGAAACAACAAAAGCAAATTAAAAACAAAAAGCTTAATAAGTGCAAGGAAATTTTAGCTTTAAAATAAATGGTTTTGTGCCAGCCACTTGTTTTAGCATCAGGCTATGAGACTATCAAATGAAGAATATTGATATGCCAATTAGAAAGAATAACCAAGGATATTTACAGCAGAGGTAGGAAGTAATTTGTAACCATGCTGTGGAGGTTACTAGAAACAGTAATTTCAATGTTTCTATTTATTTTTCATTGTTTAGACATATGGGGAAGAATAACAATGTAGATCATTCAAAGTTATAATTAATTTATATTAATTTATATTTGGTTTAGTGAAAGCCTTTAGAAATTATATTTTGATACATAATTTTTGGTGTGAAGGCGATATTGCCATGCGGTCATAAAGCAATAATGAGGGATGGGAGAGTAGGAAGCTTGGAAGCCTCTGGAAGCAGGCTGTGTGCCTTACTCTCCGTGCTCAGCCCAGCATCTGACACCTAGTAGGTATTCATTTTTTAATCTGTGAAGGGATGTTCTTGAGGACCTGAGTTAAAGGACCTGAGTATCCCCAGTTGTGGATGTCAATTCTACACAATTGTTTTACTTAGTAACTTAGGAATGTGGCTGGGAACATACACAGCAAGTCTACCATCATTTCTTCAGCAGCAGGGCTAGAATGGTGGCTTGAGCGCAAATTCCATCTTCAGTGCTCCCCACTGTGTGACTCCTGGCAGGTTTGTACCCTCCTTGGAGTAGCTCTCCTTGCTAGGAGACAAAGAGAAGAAGAGCAGCTGCCTCACAGGATTATGGGGGTGAGGACTAATGAGGCAGCCCATGAAGAGTGGTGATTGTGGTTGCCTGGTCCACGAAGGGCATTCAATAAATACCAGTTATCACTCTTACTCATACCCTAATGAAATCAGAAAGTCTGCTGAGAGCTAAGTGTATTAATGTCCTGTGGCTGCTAAAATAAAGCATCACAAATTTAGTGGCTTAAAACAACAGAAATCCATTCTGTCACCATTCTGGAGGCCAGAAGTCCAAAATCAGTACCAGTGGGCCAACATCAGAATCACTGTTGGCAGGGCCACTGTCCCTCAGAAGCTCTGGTGGAGAATCCCATCTGTTCCTTGCCTTTTCCAGTTTCTGGAGGCTGCTGGTGTTCCTTGGCTATGGTGACTGTGTCCCATGTCTTGTCTCTGTCTTCCTCTTGTCTCCAGTTCTTTGGTGTGTTTCAGTGAATCTCTCTGCCTCCCTCTTGTAAGGATGCACAAGATTGGACTGAGGGCCCATTCTGATAATCGCTTCACTTTTAAGATTCTTAAACATAATCATATCTGCCTTCCTTTTTTGGCTTGCAAGGTAACCTTCACAGGTTCTAGAGATTAGGACTTGGGTATCTTTTGGGGGACGTAGCCTACCAAATTAACATTTAATACTTCAAAAATTAAAAGATTTGCTTCCCCAGGTGAATACTATGGAAGTAGTTCTCCCTCTCTTTCTTTCTCTCTCTCAATCTCTCTCTCCTCTCCCTCCTTTCCTCCCTCTCTTCCTTTCTCCCCTTTCTCCAAAACTTGTCCCATTTACTGAACTACATATAAGTCAAGTGGCTTGACCAAATATTTTTTTTTCTTACCTACTTGGAAGAATGGTGTAGGCAGCTGCCGGCTTTTATTGAGGGGCTCACTCAGGTCAGTATCTGTATCTTTGAGAAGTCCTGTTGTTCTTTTGAATTTTCTAGCATGATTATTCCTCACGGCCACAAAATCGCTGACCCAGACCCAGACATTCAAGGTAGGAAGAAGAGAGAATATTTCCAGCAGCTTCTGTCTATCAGTAAACCAAACCTCTCAGGAGAATTCCCTTTATGTTCTATCGGATAGAAGTATATCCTCCATCATGAGATACAAGGGAGGCTTCAAAAAGAAAAATATAGCTTTTCTAGAGTGGATAGTAGAAGGCATCCAGATAGGAGATCAGGGATGACTGTTGTGTAAGCCAGCCAACAGGGTTTATAAGATACCTGGTCTGTAGAAATGTTGGAGGGAGGGTGTACTGGGCAGAGGAGGAAAGAGAAGCAGAGAGGTGGGACTCTTACTGTGTGCCTGCCAGGAGTCAGGCAGTGAACCTGAGAGTTCCTCACACTTTCTCATTTCATCTTCGCAGTAGTTCTCTGGAAAAAGTCTTAGTATTCCCATTTTGCCGAAAAGAAGACTGAGGCTCAGAAAAAATTAAAAACACACTCTAGTACAGAGTTAATAAGTGGGGAGGACGGAAATGAAACTTAACTTAAATCCAGACAGTGTGCTCTTTCTAGTACTTCTTTTTTTTGCATTTTTAAAATTTTATTATGTTATGTTAGTCACCATACATTACATCATTAGTTTTTGATGTAGTGTTCCATGATTCATTGTTTGCATATAACACCCAGTGCTCCATTCAATACGTGCCCTCTTTAATACCCATCACAAGGCTAACACATCCCCCCACACCCTCCCCTCTAGAAGCCTCAGTTTGTTTCTCAGAGTCCATAGTCTCTCATGGTTCGTCTCTCCCTCTGATTTCTCCCCCTTCATTTTTCCCTTCCTACTATCTTCTTTTTTTTTTTAACATATAATGTATTATTTGTTTCAGAGGTATAGGTCTGTGATT